TAAATGTTCCAAGGTTCAACAGTTACAACATACAGTTTTAAACATGTTATGTCGTTTTTATGAGCCATTGCACAAGGATGATAATTAAAACTCCCTTGATAGCTAGGTGAGGAAATGTACTGTGGACAATGAGCTGGACACTCAAGGACACGTTTCGCCCACAAATATACAGTCAATTCACTTTACAGCATATTCTGTGAAGCTCTTTGAGATGTCTAGAAGACGTGAAAAGCACTATATCAAATGCAAGGATTATTATTATTATTATTATTATTATTATTAAGGAGGCTTCCAAGTTTAATCCTTGGTCTGTGTTGAGTTTACCTAATAAATATACAGTCGCGATACTTTACAGTAAATCCCATGAAGCGCTTTGAGACGTTTCAATGATTTGATAAGGCGCTCCATCAAATGCAAGGATTATTATAGTTAGTAGATCTCATGCAGAGTATGAGGGGGAGCAAAATCGCAATTGGCTTCATGATCCCTAAGTTGGGAAGAGAGAAATTCAGCCAGGATTCCTGTTTTTGACTGTTATCCAATGACCCACCACTGGAAAAAGTACATATGGATGTAAAGTAAGGACATGGCCATGCCACCTCTGTAATAGAATTGCTTGCCCACATTCACTGACTGAACGCATGAAGAATGGCCACTTAGTCAAACTGGAAGAGATCTGGTGACATCTGTATAACTATATCTACCAAACATTACAACCTTTATCAGAAGAGCAGACTGGGGAAATAAAAGGTGATGCTCAAATTCTGTCATTCTAGTGTCACCCTGTTTAAAGTACCCAGAAAATTTCAATCAGATTAACACTTTCAAACAATGTACATCATGTTGAAAACATAATAACTGGTGTTGATCTTTAAACCAACTAGCAGTCCTATTATTCCTTACTGGTAACCACTGAATATCAAATTCATGATATTCAACATTCAAATATGTTTTCTCCAAGAATTAGTTGGGAGCAATATTATAGTACTTGAAAGTAGAGTTACCACGATATGGAGTAGGCTGTAATTAGAGAGATTACAGTACCAAGCACTGAACTGCAAATATAATCTCTCTGTCTTCATTTTTGTTGTAGATTCATATTTAAACAAATTCCTGTCAGGCAGAGAATCAGAAACACATTGACATGCCCTTTCAACTTTAAAAGGCAACTTTTTTTAAAAAAATAATTTTCTAATTCATATTCCCTGAAAATATTTTTTTAAATGTAATCACAACTAGTTAATGTCATATCTGAAAGACGACACCGCCAACATCCCAACTCTCCCCCAGCACTGAACTGGCGTGTCAACCCAAACTGTGAGTTCAAAGGCCCGACGTGAGGCTTGAAACCACAGCCTTCTGATTCAGTGGCGAGATAGACAGGCTAACACCTGGCACAAAATTCCTTTAATTCCTTTTAATGTAGATTTTTCTCCTAAAATCTATGCAGCAATTGGATAAAGCCTTCCTATTTTGGAAAAACTGGAGGGAAATTGTTTCACAAAAAACGGGGTGCCGTTCCCCCCGTAGCCTAGTAGATAAATGTACCGCCACCCAGTGAGCACTGCACCATATGAACAGGAATGTTGCAGATTTAAATCTCCATATGTACCGAGTTAGCCGGACTTAGACAAGAAACATGTGGACACAACAATTGGCCTTAGTTGACCTTACGTTAGGATGGGGGAAACTAGCAAGTGTTCGTTCTCCTGAGTCCTATCTGAAAGCAACCCCCACCCCCCACCCCACCCCCACCCAGAGCTTTGGCAAGAATTTGATATCAAGACCTGTCATGAGTTCCAAATGTAGCTGCTATTGTAATAAAGGAGAAGTGAAGGGCAGGATGCGGTGTTGTAAGCAGAGGACTTTCCGAATGAGACTACATCTGCAACAGAGGGGCTTCACACCCAGATTGTGCTGCGTTACCTCCCGTGGTCTCCTTGGAGCTGATTTTATTTCTAAGGTGACATGTTTGTTAAAATCGAACCCACCCTCTGTGGTAGTCCAGTTCCTGAGCCAGGCAGGTCCGCAGTATTCCAGGCTCATTGGCAGGACCTGAAAGGACAGACCAGTCACTGGGGGCAGGGGCTCTTCCCATTCAACTCCCATTAACCCTGCAAGCCAAATCCCTAACGGGTAGTGTGGTATTATTATTATTATTATTACTAGCGGGAAAGCTCACCAGACAGACAGTACTATCAATGGCAAGCTATGCGGTTTTAGCTGGTTTAACTTCAGCAGTTACCCCAACGCACACTTTGGGGGGCTCGAAGCCTTGGATCTTGCCAACCTGCACCTAATACTTTCCGGAATTAGGTAAGCCCACAAAATAAACAGTCAATTAACTTTACAGTATATTCTGTGAAGCGCTTTGAGAATTCTCGAAGAGGTAATAAGGCGCTATATGACATGCAAGTATTATTATTATTATAAGCAGGATACATCCCTCCAGGGAGAGAGTGCACATTCCATTCTATCAATCTACCTCTGGGATTTCCCTGTGTAGGTGGGATACATGGAACTCTCAGTTTGGTTTGGATACTCTTAAGCATCGTAATGACAGCGGTGACGGGCGGGCAAAGCTTGGTCCAGGCATTCGCAGGTGCTAAAAGCCTCAGGCGTCACTCGTCTCTGCTCAGTGTGTTGTCCACCAGCGCAGATACAATCAAAGAACTCTCCATATGAGGAACCCGGAGCAAGAAACTGCTCGCTGCAGTCTGCATGCATAGGATTATGTGGAAAAAAAGCAGTGCGATCCCTGAATCTAGTGCCTTCAAAATCGATTACCTTAAGTGTGTGTGTGTGAAATTAAATGTGTGCCCTCTTATTTCTTTCTGCTCCTCAAATCTGATTCTGTGGCAACTATGAGCCAGTGCAGCTTTAAATGTCAAGGCCAAGCTTTCAATGCTGCACGTCCTAAATATTCAGTACATGACGTGTGCCATAATATACCCCACACTGCAAGTCTGAAATCTGAAAAACAAATGTGCATTTACAATTCTACTGGAAAAAAAGAAGCCACAGAAACTGGATCGTTTGGGTCAAACCTTCTCAACACTGTGTCACAGCAACAACTGAAACCAGGTGTCTGACTCAGGATAGACAGACATCTACAGCTTTTGACACCTCAGGGGTGTGTGTGTGTGTGTGTGTTTTTTGTGTGTGGGAGGGGGGGGGGGGAAATGTAGCATTTTTTTTTAGGGAAACTTTCCTGAATTGTTTGATTGCTGTTAAAGCATTGCACCGAGAGAGAGAAGAGACAGAGAGAGAGGAGGGGGTCTGTGCCAGTCACACACAGTAACAATGCGGTTGTGGAGACCACATCAGCCACCGATGGCTTGGCTTCTGCTTCTCTCTCAGCAGTGCTGTAACATGTCTGGTGGAAGGGGGTGAAACCCACTCAACCCCTCACTGTCCTGAACCCCTGTTGCCCTGCACCCACTCCCACTGATCACCCCACCCCCCACCCCCCCCCCCCCCCCACACACACACACACACACCTCCACACACACACACACCCACACACACAGTTAAACTTTGCTTCTTCCCACGCAGTTCATTCAGATCGCTTTTTTTTTGCTGGGGGTCTGGGGTTTACTTCCCGGACCCCCAAAATACAGTGCCGAAAGGGAGCCTTGAGCACAAGGTGCTGGAGCAGAGCAGCTGTACATACCAGTGTTGTCCTTAACACACACCCCGACACGACTGCAGGCAACTCACTCACTCACTCACTCACTCACTCACTCACTCACTCACTCACTCACTCACTCACTCACTCACACTCACTCACTCACTCACTCACTCACTCACTCACTCACACTCACTCACTCACTCACTCACACTCACTCACTCACTCACTCACACTCACTCACTCACTCACACTCACTCACTCACCCACTCACACTCACTCACTCACTCACCCACCCACTCACTCACTCACTCACACTCACCCACTCACTCTCACTCACTCACTCACTCACTCACTCACACTCACCCACCCATTCACTCACTCACTCACCCACTCACTCACTCACACTCACTCACACTCACTGCAAAGGATGTGCTTCGGTCTATCTCCAGTAACTTTATTTTCTCTCTGTCTCTCTCTCTCTCTCTCATTCGTAAAATACCTCCAGCAATCAGGGCTTTTGCGATTGTAAGGTTTTCTATGGATATTTATATATTACATTGCATTATATATGTGAGTGTGTGTGTGTGGTGTGTGTGAGTATGTGAGTATGTGTGAGTGTGTGTGAGTGAGTGTGTGTGTGAGTGAGAGTGTGTGAGTGTGTGTGAGTATGTGTGAGTGAGTGTGTGTGAGTGAGTGAGTGTGAGAGTGAGTGAGTGTGAGAGTGAGTGTGAGTGAGTGAGTGAGTGTGAGAGTGAGTGAGTGAGTGTGTGTGTGAGTGAGTGAGTGAGTGAGTGAGTGTGTGAGTGAGTGAGTGAGTGAGTGAGTGAGTGAGTGAGTGAGTGTGAGAGTGAGTGTGAGAGTGAGAGTGAGTGTGTGTGAGTGAGTGAGTGTGAGAGTGAGTGAGTGAGTGTGTGTGAGTGAGTGTGTGAGTGAGTGAGTGTGAGAGTGAGTGTGAGTGTGTGTGAGTGTGTGTGAGTGTGAGTGTGAGTATGTGTGAGTGTGAGTGAGTGAGTGTGAGAGTGAGTGAGTGTGTGTGAGTGAGTGAGTGTGAGTATGTGTGAGAGTGAGTGTGTGTGAGTGTGAGTGAGTGAGTGTGTGAGTGTGCGTGAGTGAGTGAGTGAGTGAGTGTGTGAGTGAGTGAGTGAGTGTGAGTGAGTGTGTGTGAGTGAGTGAGTGAATGTGAGTGAGTGTGAGTGTGTGTGTGTGAGAGTGAGTGAGTGAGTGAGTGAGTGTGAGTGAGTGAGTGAGTGAGTGAGTGAGTGAGTGAGTGAGTGAGTGAGTGAGTGAGTGAGTGTGAGTGTGTGTGAGTGTGAGTGTGAGTGAGTGAGTGAGTGTGAGTGCTGGAGTTGGTTGTGTGACACTCACTCACCATCACTGCCGCACTGTTTCCCATTGTTCGCTCCCATCCTCCGGGCTTCATACTACCCCATCCCACAGCCTCCCAGACTCCAGGCGGGGGGGGGGGGGGGGGCACCACACTCCAGACCCCGGGCACAGACCCCGGGCACAGACCCCGGGCACAGACCCCGGGCACAGACCCCGGGCACAGACCCCGGGCACAGACCCCGGGCACAGACCCCGGGGCTCAGGCTCCGACACCGGACACGAATCGCTGCATTTCACACGAAACTCTGCAGCCGCCCTTCACACCCCGTCACTCCGGCTCTACACAGGCTGTGAGCACTCAGCCCCCCCCCCCCCCCCCCCCCCCCACCCCCTCCCTCCCTCCCCCCTCCCCACACAGCACAGCTCAGCTCAGCTCAGTTGGAATCCACAGGCGCTGCCCCTCGTCCCCTCTTCTCCTCCTGTTGTTCTTCTCCTCTTGTTGTTCCTTTCCTCTCCTCCTCCCCTCCTCCCCTCCTCCTGGTTCTGGTCCTCCTCCTCCTTCTCCTTCTGCTCTGTGGAGGGGGTGTGGAGGAGGGCATCAGATACCCCTTAATGTGCTCCTCACTCACCCATCCTGGTGCAGACCGGGGCACTGGCACTGGCCAGTGTGGGGCGGGAGGGGGGGGCGGGGGGGGAGGTCCTGGTGTAGATGGGACAAGGAGTGTGAGTGAGTGAGTGAGTGAGTGTGTGAGTGAGTGAGTGAGTGTGTGAGTGACTGTCTCCTCCCTCCACACTTGTTGCTGTGTTGCCCCCCAATCGCCCAGTGGGGGGGTCAGTGCTGCAGCCGCAAGAGCGGAGATGCCCCGTCACTGAGCGACCCCCAGTGGGTATCACCGCCCCCCACCCCCCACCCCCCCAGACAGAGGGGGTGGACAAGAACCCTTCCGGCCCTTAAAGGTAACTTGTCCTCTCTCCAGCCCCTGACCAGAGAGCGAGAAGGGTTTTCCCGTTTCCCTGTTCTCACAGTTTCCCTTCGCGAGTCTATGCCGAAGGCGCCCTTTTCTCCTCCGCTTTGCTCTTCCCCAACTGCAGCACTTGCAGGCACTTCAATTATTGTCCATAGATGGAAATTGTGCAGTCCACCAGGGGGTTAAAAAGGAGGTGGATGTGTGTAACGGTGCCTTCCCCCCCCCCCCCCCGACGGTTATGAGGAATTGCACCCACGATATGCCATGATATGATTAAAATGGGCCAATCTTTGATGAGGACAGACACCAGGAAGTTGGTCTTTACTCAGAGGGTAGTTAATGACTCCCCAACAGGTTGCCCAGGAAGGGTGGTTGAGGCCAGGACACTGGGCTCATTTAAAAAAAGCCCACAATTTACACAGTCAATTCACGTTAGTGTGTATTCTGTGAAGCCCTTTGAGACGTCTTGAAGACGTGATAAAGCACTGTATCAAATGCAAGGATTGTTATTATTAAAGCAGCGTGATGCTGTATTGGGAGACGCTAGCCTGTGGGTGTTCTGGAGGGGCGAGATCAACTGGACACAACCAATCTTGTGAATGAAGATTCTGGCCAAAAAGTGGGCATGCCTCCTCACACTGGAAAAGAGGAAAGTTTAGGCAGAGGACACCATTTGGCAGCTCGACGTAATAAATATTTCGAAACCATCCTACAACCGAATGAATTCTGCTGAACACAACCATGTCCAATTTTCTAGAGCTCAAATATTTCACAATTCCGAAATGACCCTCACACTCTATATAAAATGTGCTCCGAGACATTGTCCTAAGTGAAGGATGCTCTATAAATGCAATTGTTCTTCTAATTGTGGAAGTGCAGTGTTTATGCAGCAGCAAGAACTTGCATTGTTTGTAGATCTCAGACAGCGTCACGCAATGGCATGGAATGAGTCTAAATGGCTCTTTAATGGAATAGGCACAGACTCGATGAGCCAATTGTCTCTTTTGTGCTGCAAAAGTCTATGATTTCAGTGGTGCTATGGTGCAATTCTTGTGCTATTTAATGGCAAAAAGAGGTACCCATTATGAGCGTGTTAGAAAGACATAGATGTCGTCTGGACTCCCTTTAGCCTTTGTTTCTGGCCATTTAACATGCACACAAATTTCTCTCTATTGTCTCTCACATCAGCATGTTTTGTTCCTTTGAGCAAATATTGCACAACTCCACACTCCACTGATAATCCAGATGCCAAACCATAAGGTTTATTTTATGCTGCTGAGGGCAATCAAAAAGAAATGAGAATTTATAGCCTGTCCATTAATTCCCTTGACTACCATTCTTATCCTCTGAATCATTGATAATTCCATAAAATCCTGTAGCACACTGACCTCACAACAAGAGGACCCAGGTTTGTTTCCCAGGTGGGCCGAAACCCCAAGAAAGTTTCCTTACTCCACATGCCTCTGTTTACCTAGCAGTAAGTAGGAATCCAGTTATTAGTCGAGGGGGCAATAATTCCCCCACAAAAAAATGGTCACTCAATCCATGATTGTTTTTGGTACACTGCTTATTGTTATTGTTATAAAAGCCTCTGCTCTTCCAGCTGGGTACTGACATTGCTCCCAAACCATATAAGTACAAGAAAAACGTAAATGAGTCTGAAATTAATCAAAATCGTTCGCCCTATCATGCCCAGTAGATTTGTCTGGCATGATCTTTTTTTTATGTCTATCTTAAATTTTTCTTATAGCCTGGAACTCCCTATTTCAATCTCTCCCCTTTGCTCCATCTTTGCCTGTCGTTAAATCACACCTGAAGACCTTCTTCTTCGATCGTGCCTTCAGCCACTTCCCCTCACTTTCCAGCTTGGTGCTGAACCACCCCACTGTTAAGTGCTCTGAAACACTACTGTTACCCATGTGATATGGCACTATATAAATGCAAGTGGCTGTTAAAGCCTCTTTGCTTCTTGGGGAACCAAATAGTTTGATCATTCAGTTCCTGGCTGTTGGGAATATTCTAGGATATTGATGTATGCAGATTGGCTTCCATATCTGCTTGAAAATACGTAGCCAGTACAGCAATTATCTACGAATTACCTGCTTCGAGATGTTTTGACATAATAGGTGCCATATCCAACACAAAAATTAGTAGTAGTAGTACTGTACTATAATTAAGGATAACATGCGTTCACCTCCGGTCCTCAAGTACACCCTAAGTTTTAATGAGCTCCTAAAACTAATAAATAAACCTTATCTCTCACATTTCTTAAGATGGTTTTTGAGTGTGGCTTCTCTGTCCCAGTTGGCTGTAGACATTCATGGAGTGACATTTTGATTGTCAGTGATTCGATTGATCTTGGTAAATATTCACCTGTTATCTTCTGGGGTCAATGAATTTCCTTTATGAAATTTCTTTTGTACTCACCCCTCTCTCCCTCAGTTCCTGAGTTGAACGAAATGTTGGCAATAATTTTTTGCTATTAATTGGAGAGTGAGAAAAGGAAGAAGAGCATTGTGTAATTTTCGTCACAGTGACAAAACTTGGGAGTTGACCCAATAGTGCATTATAGTGCAATGCATAATATTCCAATGTGAGTTCAGAAAGCAAACAATATAAAGTTTTACTAATCTTACAAATTTTAGAAGCTTAAAACACTGTAGCTTTATTTGAGGTTTGGAGGAGAGAACACATGTTATCCATAATAAAACGTTTTACAAATATAAAGTTTTGCATTTTATATTAAATTAGCACTCATTAAAAAATTGCCTTAATTTATAAAATAATAAGGAATTCCATTAACCTATCCACATCATCTTAAACAGGTTAAAAGCGCTGTCACTTCAAATAATTCTATGGTTTATAATAAACTTCTGTGAAATAATTTTGGATCAGCCCAAACTCAGTTTTCCCATTGCCATTACTGTTCATCCAGTCTAATGTTAAGTGTCAGTGGTTGCTGGATAGCAAATGTGCAGCTAATATATTAGAAAAGTATGCTTTCGGGGTCTTGTGTATTGTGCAGACTGTGGAAAGAGTTTGATGGGCCAATTGGCTCTTTTATAGTTCCATGCTTCCTTATACTGTATTCTTTATACTTAAAGTATAAAAAAGCAGAACCAATTGTGGCAAAAAAGAATGATGGAAAGATAGATACTTGGGAACTAAAGGAGTTAACGGGTATAGAACAAAAGATGGGGAAACGAGATTAAAAGACTTGCCATCAAACAAACTGTCAGAAGGGGCTTAACTTGCTGAATGGCCTAGTCCTGCTCCTATGTTCTAAAATATTTAAATGACTCAGGAACATGTAAAAATATTTTGGTAAAGGACTAACCAGGAACTGGGCTGCCCAGGAATCATCTTTGAGTTTTTATTCCTGATCAACCTGTGTCTGCTTAAATGAATCATGCCTAATGCCTTGTTTAGAACAGCAAAAGGAAGCTGCATTCTCCGACCTCCATTTGCCACTGTAAATTACTGGAGCTGCAAACTCCAAATTGGCATCAGCAACAATGAGAACCACCTCAGGGTTAGGTCTCATTCTGTTGCCAAGTTAGACGTCTGCCAGTATAAATTGGCAACCAAACGCACGCCTTCAAACTCCACTGCTCCTGCTTGTTGCTCTTTCTTTGAATAGCTACCAATTATTAAAAATGCCCCCCAGACATCAACACACGTATACAAATCTTGATACAGCAGGAATATGGAGTGTTTCATCTTAGTTAAGATCCCGAGTTTGCTTCTTAAGCTGTCACCATCACGAACATGGAGGGCTAATGTAATGAGCATAGGCAGACGTACATGCTGAGCTTAGAATACATTGCCATGTCTCAGTACGAACATGACAGGAATTTACTAATCCTGACTTTTGTAGCTGGCTTCTAGTTAAAATATAGTATAATTATTTTAAGATGCAAGTGGGCAACAATTGCTCAGTTTCAACTGATCTGAGTGTCTCCAAAATCCTTCACTGAAAAGCCTATGTTACGGTCAGGCCTGAATAATACAATACAAAACATTGTGTTCGTTTTTTTTACTGCTTCAGCAAACCGTAGCAAATTATCGCTGGTCAAAATTACAGCACTGGGGAATACTTAAAGGAGTACAGTCTTGGAAAAGTGTTTGGCAAACCGTTCTGTTAT